CTGGTGTAACTCTCTATCCTAGAGGAGTGGTTTTGGATCTATGCTGTTGCCACACGGGGTTTTTTTTTCTGGGAAGTGATCCCCCCCCCCCGCTTCCACACAGCACCGTGGTGCATTCATGTACCCCGTGGGGTTTCCTTGGCTTTTCCTTGAACTTTCCGAAACCTGCGTTGCTCCAGAGTTTTGGAAATTAGCACAGCAGAGCTGGATGGCTGCCATGCGGGCGGGAAAATTAGGATTTTCGGGTCCTGCCCACTCCAGCTGTTTCTTCTCACTGCCCTGGTGTTGGTGTTTAAAGCTTGGCACGTCAGTATCATTATAGCAATATAATGTTATAACAATATGTGTAACATTGTCTCTGAATCCCCAGATTTCATGTGTTTTAAATGCTCTGCAGTAACTTATCAAACTGTTGAAGTCACCCAGTGTAGCATCTAAACACAGTTTGAGTCCAGTGACACCTTGAAGTTTTATTCTGGGTATAACCTCACCTCCAACCCAGGATTAGACTACACAGAGATAGGCAGTGACAAACTACCTCTGAGCATCTCTTGCGCTGAAAGCCATACGTGGTCTCTGTAAGTCGGTTGCAGCTTGGCAGCTCTTTTTGTCTCCGCCAGAGAAGAAAAAAGGCGGCATTTTTAGGAACTCTGTGCATTCATTTGGAGGCAGTGTTCAGCTAGTAAAAATCTGGCACACGCTATCAATTGGTGCCTGTAATAGGTTCTTCACTTTGAGGTGGAAGAAACACAAGGCCAAGAATGCTTTTTTTTTACAAGCCTTTATTGGCATACGTATATACATACAATAGCACTAAGAAGAAACCTTGCTACTATTTCGATTATTTCCGTATCTTGATTATCAAGCAAAAACAGAACCTTAAAATCGTCGGGAATTTCTGAGAATTGAGCTAATATAGGATACAAAAGATCTTGGCGGGGCACCAGATAAAAGGGACATTGAAGGAGAACATGGGGGACAGTTTCAACACAGTCCTTCTTACAAGGACAACACCTGCTGGAGTAGGGGATCCCCTGGAATCTGCCAGAGAGAAGCAAGAATGCTTCAGATGCTCCATGCTGCAGGTGCCCTTGGGAGGTAGGAGAATGAAGTAGGGGGAGCTGTTTCCTCCTCTCCATACTGTCGGGAACAGGGCCTTACCCTCTGCCCCCACCCCTTAGCAGTGTCTTGAACTGGTTCACTGTTGGGCCACAGGCAACAAAGTGTGTCACAGTGGCACAACTTGCAGGTTATGGATCCCGCGGTCCTTCAAGCCTGGTGCTTTAATGTGGGCTTGTAGATGTCCAGCTGCCTCTAGGTGGCCGGCCAGGTGTCTCTCCTGTATGCCATGGATCTGCACAGACTTGGCAGGCTAATAAAAAGACAAGTGTGGGCTAGTGAGGGTTGCAGACTCACCTGTAAGTCTCCTTTGAGAAGACATTTCCCCGGCAGTATCTCTTTTCTGGTGGGGCTGGTCTGTGTGAATCAGGTGGGGGTGGGAGGGGCAGGGGGGGGTTGTTCTTTCCTTGTTTATACAACTTGGTTCTTCTGCAAAGGAGGACGGGGTTTTTTTGTTGGCACAAACTGAAGCCATGCCTTTTTGGGGTACAGTGTTGCCCATTCCCAAGCAGCTCTTACAAGTTCTCCCCCCCCCTTTGTAATTACTTAAGGAAAAAACTATTGGAAAGCCGCTCAATACAAATCCCTTAAGCCTCTATTGATAGAGGCGCCCAGGAGAGCTTCAACCTCTCCAGGAACCTGAAACATGGGCACCATCTGTGGTTCCACGGCTCCCTGGCCAAATTACATTCCGAAGCCTTTCTTTCTCTCTTTCCTCCGCTATTTTTCATTAAGCGAATTGGGTTTGCTGGAAATCTCAGGGCCATAAATATTCTCTCCAGCGGGCCGGTTATTGCTGTTCCCTGGTTCGCAGCTTGTTTTTTCCCCCTCTGCAGAGCAGAAGGTGGTGCCCTGAACTCCCACTCTGAAATGAGAAATGGAGGGAGGGGGAAAACAGTCCTTCAGCAGAGAAGCTGGGGCTGGAAAGGAACGTGGCAAAGGGAGTGCCTCTCCCCAAAATCACTTCGCTCCCAGAGCCATAAATATTTGCATGTTTAGGAGTGGAAATGGAAGACGGGTGGGAAGCTGAGAGGTGAAACCTGCAGCTAAAATTGGTTGGTTCAAACTGGCACTGTGAATATCTGCGACCCACCTCCTCTGACCCATAGATCTCTCCGCCTCCCAGGCTGCCCTGCACGTCTGTTGATACCTTACAGAAGCACCAAGCCTAACCGTGAGGCTGTTTACCATTTTTATTTTATTTATTTACATGTGATTTTTATACCGTATAGAATTCTATACCGTATAGAAATTCTATACAATCCGTAGTTCCTTCTTTCCCCAGGCCTTGCCACCTTCACCTACCATCTCCTGGAGCTCTTTGTTCACAGCTTCCCTCTTGCCCAAACCCTTCCTGGCCTGCCCCCTCCACCTCAGCCCCCCTTGGCACTTTCACCACAGTCTCCCCACATCTCTTCCTGTGCCTAGATGAGGTTTTTCCTTGTCCTCCATGCTCTCCTGCTTTCCCTCACGAGCTGCCCTGTTGGCTGACATTTTACGGCTGGCGCCCACGTGCAGTTGGTTCAGCTTGACGGATGTAATTTAAACGTAGGGAGGATATGGACTCTAATGCTCAGAGCTATTCTAGGGACTCCCTAAATGTGTAACGATGGCAGTTTACAAGTCTGGGGGTGGGGCTGTGTTCATTAGCAGCTATTCCAAGGATTACCACCATAAATGTTTGGCTGACAATTTGCCTTGCCGTAGACTAGAGAGCCGTCTTCTAGTTACGCCTCTTCAGAACTGGAAGGTGTACATATGAGTAAATGGAAGAAAGTAGAAATCTAAGAAATTAACATGCTGCATCTTCTGTTTGGCATTATTACTTTACAATTTGGAGAAGGCCTGGGTATCATAGAATCACAGAGTTGGAAGGGGCCATACAGGCCATCTAGTCCAGGATCAGCCTAGAGCATCCGTGACAAGTGTTTGTCCAGCCACTGCTTAAAGACTGCTAGTAAGGGGGAGCTCACCATGTATCCTAGGCAGCTGATTCCCCTTCTGCACAACTCTTCCTCTCAAAACGTTTTTCTTAATATCCAGCCGGTACCTTCCCGCCCTTAATTTAAACCCATCATAGACAGACCTATCCTCTTCTGCCAACAGGGAGAGCTCCCGGCCCTCCTCCAACTGACACCCCTCCAAATACTTCAAGAGAGCAATCATGTCCCCCCTCAACCTCCTCTTCTGCAGACTAAACATTCCCAGGGCAGCCTTTCCTCATAGGGCTTGGTCTCCAGGCCCGCGATCATCCTTGTCGCTCTCCTCTGCACCCGCTCCATTCCGTCCACATCCATTTTGAAGTGAGGCCTCCAGGACTGCACACAATACTCCAGGTGTGGCCAGGCCAATGCAGTGTACAGCGGGACAATGACATCTTGCGATTTGGATGTTTTGCCTCTCTTGATACACCCCAAGATCGCATTGACCTTTTTTATAGGGTGTTCACATCTCGTTGAATTCTGTCTCTATTTTCTGGTGTATTCACTGTTCCTCCCAATTTGGTGTCATCTGCAAATTTAATGAGTAGCCCCTCCACACCCTCATCCAGATCATTTATAAAAATATTGAAAAGTACTGGGCCCAGAACCAAGCCTTGTGGCACCCCACTGGACACCTCCCTCCATTCAGATGAAATGCCATTGACAACTACTCTCTCTGTGTGGTTCTCCAACCAGTTCCCTATCCACCTGTCCTACAGTCCACAGTCCTCTAGTTTACCCATCAGAACATCATGGGGAGCCCTGTCAAAAGCTTCACTGAAATCCAGGTAAACTACATCGACAGCATTCCCTCCATCCAGTAAGCTCGTAGCTCAATCAAAGAAGGAAATGAGATTGGTCTGGCAGAACCTGTTGGGGACAAATCTGTGCTGACTTCAATCCAAGAAAGAGGTTGCAGTCTAGGTTACCAGAATCTGTATGCTGTGGCATATGGACCTTGCTCTCTTCGAGTTTAAGATTGGAACTTTCTGAGCGTACAAACTATTTGTACCAAAATATAGGAGAGTGTTTTACAATAAGATGTTGTAACATTTTTCCATCTGCGAACCTTGGGGGTCATTGTAGTCAAATCCCTTCAAATGATCAATTGACTTGCGATGCCACGTTAACAGATGGGACATTCAACCAGAAATCTAAAAAACAGAAGTGACACATTAAATGACGCAAAATTACATAATAGGATCCAGCTTACAGCAAACAATACATAGTATTATAGACTGCAGTCCCTAATGATGTATCTGAGTAACCTTGTGAATCATTTTGTACAGTGCTTACCCTATTATCTGTGTAGAAAAACCTTCTTGAATAATTCAGTTTTGCATAGTTTGTGGAAAGCCAGGAGAGGGGGAGCCTTCCTGACCTCCTTGGGCAGGCCATTCCACAAGGTGGGGGGCACAACAGAGAAGGCACGTGCATGGGCAGTTGTTGATTTTGCCCGTTTGCAGCTTGGAGCCAGCAAAAGGCCCTGCGCGGATAAGCAAAGCGGTTGTAGCAGAGCGTAGGGGGAGAGATTGCCTTGCAGATATGAGGGTCCAAGGCCATGAAGGGCTTTGTATGTGATAGCCAGTACTTTAAATTGAGCCCCAAAACTGATGTGCATCCAGTGGAACGAGTGCCGAATGGGAGTGCCATGCATGCTCCGCGTAGCTCCTGATAATAGCTGAGCTGTGGCATTCTGCATCAACTGGAGTTTCCTAGTAGATTTTGAGGGGAGACCAATGTACACCAGTCTGGTTTCTACACTGGGTGGGGCTTGTAGGTGCCAGACCACAAATGGCTGTGGGGCTTACAGGAGGGGTCCTTGGCTACCTTCTCTCCCCACTCCCCCCGCTCATTTTGTTGTGATGCTGGACTCATATTGTGGACCTCTTTTTGCAGTGCACGTGCCGGAAAGATACGGTGAAGATCTCCATGGATGTTTTTGTACGGGTTCTCCAACCAGACCGTTATGATTTGTGGAAGCAAGGAAAAGACGTCACGGTCTTGGACCACATGAAACCCACGGCTCTCAGCAGCCCAGAGCTGGAAGACTGGAATCAGATCAAGGCTGCGTTGAAAGCAAAGATGCTACGCAGGTAAAAACAAAGCAAAACTCCCCCCCACCCCCCCGACTGTCTCCCTCTCCCCAATTGTTGAGAATATCCAAAGACACTCTGTGGAGTGGTTTGGATGAGGTGCCAAAGGGAGTAGGGATGTTGCCTCTCCTCCTGAACCGTTTGCTCGTTGGAACTGTGCCAAGGAAAAGCCCACCCCACCTTTCCTCCAGGTGCATCTGTTTCACTGTGTGAAACAAAGGTGCTGTACTACATGCACCCCTGTTCTGATCCAGCAGGGCTCTTTACATTTCCTTGTCTGCTTCCAAGCAAACAAATGTTTCTTGTCTGGAGTACCCAAGAGAGGAGAACTCTGGACTTCTTCTCCCCTGACTTCACAAAGCCCAAGCCTCCCTTGTAGGGTAGATGAAATGAACACTTTCTTGTACATGGAGGCTACGTAGGCAGCACAAAGGGTAGAGCAAGCTCTCCTGGAGGACCTGTCTCTGTGCTCTGCTGCCTGCATGAATGCAGCCCTTTTTCAGGCTTCTTCCAGACCTTCTCAGTGCCGTTGGTTTCATTTTGTCCCCAGCAGCTCTGCGTGGGCTTTTGGAACTCTCCTTGGGGGTGAGATTTTACATAAAATGGCTGCCAGATTGGATTTTCCTCTCAATTAGGTGGCATTCATTGTGCCTTTTCCCTTCTCTAGAAGAGCTTGAATAGCTTGCTCTGTGTTCCAGGCTGGTGCCTAGTTTACAGTGATTGACTGCGGCCCCTGGAGGTTTGTCATTTCTCCCTAACCTGCCCTTGCAGCACAGGCAGAGAACTCCTCATTTGACTCCCTCAGATCCTTGTCATAACTTTGAAGTATCCCTGTCAGGTCATTTAGCTCTTGACATGTCTGACTTGAGCCGGGCTGACTTATTCTTGCATTTCAGATGGCTGTCATGTGTCAAGCTTATTTCCACACTGGATTTATTACACTACTCAGGATTAAGTTTCAGGATCCTGGTGAAGAGGGCTTGATACAGCTAGGACTACCTGTGTAGCCTCCCTTTTCATAGGCTCCTCACAAACATTGTATTGATTAATCTGGTGCAAAGATTTAGCATTTTCCAACTTTTTCTTCCTTTCTCCGGTTAATTTCTTAATGACAAGTTGCTGGTTCTTACTGTTTCAGATAATCATGGAATGTGCTTGTCTCCTTCCTGCTTTCCCTTTCTCTCCTCCTTACTCCCCTTAATACATTTCCCCATGTGAAGAAATGCATTTTCTCCTGGGAGGTTGGCAAGAAGCAAACCTCCACTTGGCGGTTTAATCCCCCCCCCTTTCTTTGGACTGAGAACAGGCAGGGAGAGGGGAGTCATTTGGATTGTACCTTGGCCTACTTCCTTACAAATGCTAATAGATCTAGCAGGAAAAACAGTGGGATGGTCAAGCTTTTCACCTTCTCCCCTCTTCTCCAGGCAGGGAACAGAGCTTGAAGGGCTTTAGGCTAGAACAGCTCCAGGAATAATATCCAGGAAGGAGCTGGAGAAAACACTACTTTGACCTGGGCTGACCAGGTCAAGTGGGAGGGGAAACATATAACAAAACCTCCTTGCAGGAGGAAGTAGCTCTTTTCTTTGGGATGCAGCGTTCAGGAGAACTCTGAGCTGAGGTTTGCAAGCAGGCAGCCATTAACCATGTGCTTGGCCTGGACATCTGAAGGGAGATGTATAACTTCCTAAGATAAAGCACTTGTCCTGTTTTAACAGCTGTGAATGTATAGAGAGAGAGACAGAGGATTTGCATTTTTTACCAATTTATTTTCTATCTCTTGCTCAAATCTGGTGCTGTGCTAAAAGTATGCTTGTAAACATTTTCTTTTTAATAAGTACTTTAAACTTTTGATGTTGGGAGCAGTTCTCTGTACCACATAGACCTCCACCATCTTGGACACGGTATCTGAAGAGGGGAGCCAGGGGAAAGCCAGGCAAGTGGCTATTCCTCCAAGGGCACCCAAGGCATTAATCTGTCCCTGTGGTGACCAAGCACAGGGCAGCAGAAGACACTGAGGCAAGGCCTCTGAATATGGAAGGGAAGCTGGGAGTCCTGCCCCTCCCAGTGGGCAATTCCTTACAAAAGGGCAGGTGCTGGTGGTGGACTACCTGAGAGGTTAAGAAAAGCTCCTCCAGGGAGTTGGAGGGCATGGCTCTTCAGGCCAGTCCCGCCACACCCCACACTGACTTAAAAGCTGCCCACATGCTACTTTGAGCCATTTCTGTAGGCTCATCACTTGCCAGGGCTAGTCTTTCTTTCCACAATTGATAGTTTGATACTGGCTGGAAGACACAGGCGTCCCTTGAGACGTTTTTCTTGTACGAGAAACCTGAGCCAGACCGGTTCAGCGGATAAGATGTCCTCCTGTCCGCTCTGCTTGGAGATGACTTTGATGTTGTCTCCAGAGGCCACCCTCCAGCCTTCTAACAGTGCCCTTGGCTCCTCGTCCTGTTCTCAGAGGATGGACCGAGCAGATGTCTTTCACACCCGCACACCCCACTGTCTTCCCTCTGATGTATTTTTAATCCCACTCTCAAAGGGTCAGAGAAGCTCAGAATGTGTTGCATTATGAAGCAGTATCCCAGAGTACAAGAAAACAGATCTGTGATGGCGCCTTGCACTCAAAGGCCAAGAATGCCTCTGGGCCTCTCTGAACTTAATAAATAACATTTTGCATCGTTAGCACTTCAAAAAATATATTTGGGGGTGAGCACTACAATGTACAGATGTGTAATTTAAACGTAAACCACATGTGCCTTCTTCAGCCTTACCCTCTTCTCATTTTGGTAGCCTCTCCTTGTGTCGATTGTCAGTGGATTCCCACCTCCCTGGCTGTTTTGCAGAGATGCAGTCAGCCTCCATGCAGGTCTAAGGCCCGCAGTGTGAACACACTCCTTGGTCTGCACTCAGGCTCTGTCTCCCAGTGCAGCCAGAGCTCTTGGGCCCCGACTGCTTCAGCAGTGTGCTCTGCCTCAATTATCATGCTTATGTCACTTTTCTCTGCAGGTCGATTGCCAGTTGGTGATCTCATAAGCGTAACTCACCACCAGCACCCCGCCACCTTTCTTTCTTTGCTTTCTCTCCTCCACCTCTGCAGTTCCTACCCTAATCCTCTTTTGGGGAAAGTGTCTCGTGGTATTAAACTGAAATGCATTTTCTCTGCTCAGATGGGGCCTCTGGCACACCACTTGTGCCCTTTTTCTACTCGGGAACCTTGTTAACTCTCAATCAGCAACCGTGTCGCGTCTGCTCTCGGCAGCCAGGAGAATGGGCTGGTGGAGTATTTTGTTTTTCAGGCTGTCATTGTGCTTAATCGTCTCTTCTTCTTGAGCGGAGCTCATTGGCCCTTCTGTTTTGCTGAGCACAATGTGGTTAGAACCAGGGCTGGACAAATTGCTGCTCCCTGGGCATCCCAGGTTGTAAATAAATAAATTGAACTGGGGAATTTTGAAAGTTCTTCTTCCGACCCTAAGAATTTGAAATATTATTCTAGATTTTCTTTTTTAGGAGCCCCTGATACTGTGAGTGTGTTGTTGTCCCCCCCCCCCAAATGTGCCTAGCATACGAGCTGTTGGTCTGACATGGTTGCTGTTTACTTAATGGCTAATTGATTGGGGGCTAAAGCTAATTGGTCTGCAGAGCAGACTGTAAGGTAGAGAGTGGTGATCTCATTTCACTGGGGAATTTTGAAAGTTCTTCTTCCGGCCCTAAGAATTTGAAATATTATTCTAGATGCTCTTTTTTAGGAGCCCCTGATACCGTGAGTGTGTTGTTGTCCCCCCCCCCATGTGCCTAGCATACGAGCTGTTGGTCTGACATGGTTGCTGTTTACTTAATGGCTAATTGATTGGGGGCTAAAGCTAATTGGTCTGCAGAGCAGACTGTAAGGTAGAGAGTGGTGATCTCATTTCACAACATTTCAGTGGATCAGAAGCCTTTTATAAGTGGGCTGCTGTGCCAGGAGACACGTAACACAATGCCCCCCCCCCTCCAATCTCCCAGGCATACTTGCCAGGAGAAGAAAAATCTCTGCGTAAGGGAGAGAGTTCAGCGGGAACATATTGAGTTGAGGAGCTGAGCAAGAGTTCAGCGGGAACATATTGAGTTGAGCTGAGGTGCATGCCATCTTTTAGCCTGTCTTCCCCATTTGCAGCTGAAGTTGCAATACCATATTGTTATGGAGGTCCATTCATTGGCATCCCTTCCTCCTGCCTTCTGCTGCTGTGCTGACATGTCCATAGAGCATGGATCTGGAGCCTGGTCTGCCAAGGGCCTTTCTGTATGCTAGAAGGTTCCCGGAAGGAGCAGGCCTGCAGGCAGGTGGGAGTACCACAGACAGTGGCTTGCGTCCATAACGTCTTTTCAGTGGTGCCCGTTTCAGTGTTCAAGCAGTTAATATGGATGGGGAAAAGGTGGAGAGGAGGCAGGGAGAGAAAAAAGGCCCATAGGTGAAAGCATTAAGGTAATAGTGGTCAAAGAGCTGGTATAACCTTAGAAGCTTGTATTGGAGGGCTGGGCTGCGGAGGCCAGTTATAAACCAGCAAGTTGGGTCCCGTGCCTGCACAGTTTGACACAAAGCCAGCCTGATGGGCAACTCCGCCAGTCGGAAGGATCCTGACGCTAATCCTAGCGTGCTGCTCCCATTGTTCTTGCAGAGCCCAGCCCAGTTCTTGTCCAGTGGGGGTGCGCTCTTTGGTGGAGTGAACTCTCAAGTGTCTTCTGCAATGTCTGAGAAAATGGGCGGTCCTAGGGAGACTGCCCCGTTCTCTTTCAGCAACGGTTCCCTGTTCAGATTCGCGGGTGGCTTTGTTCATTACATTACTATCCAGTGCAGTGGTCCCTCTAAGCTGAGTTAGTGTGAGCTTGCTCGCAGTTTTTTAGCCTCCTGCTCACACATTTTTGTCTTCACTCAGGAAGGATGGGCTCCAGAGCAAACTGATTTACGCAGCAGCCAAATCGCTCGCTCACAACTTTAATGCCAGGAGCTCACAAAGTAGGGCTTTTGCTCACAAGACTCCACAGCTTAGAGGGAGCATTGATCCAGTGTTGTGGAAACCTGCATTGTGAATTGTAGTTCAGAATTTTTTCCACTGAGTAAAAATGGTTCTTTATTTATTTACAGAATTTATATCCTGCCTTTCTGCCCTTACAGGGGGCCACTAAGGCGGCTAACAATTTAAAACATACATGATAAAAGTACTTTTTAAAAACAGTAAAATCACCCCCCTCCTCCCAAGCACACATCATTACTGCAGTTTAAAAAACAGAGTTCAGATACATACAAAACATTATGGGAATGCCAACATGTTTTTAAAATCTTTGGTTTGCTAAAAATACCCTTGAAAACTTCCTATGAATTTTCCTTGTCCAGTGGCAGAAAATAAGGCTGTTTAATTGGACACACGTGTCACAGCTTTTAAAGTTTCCCTCCCCTATCCCTGCTCCAGATGACTGTAAAACAAAAACAGGGAACTGAGAATTTTGGGGTGCAAGAATGTGTATTGCTTTCTCACCTGGGAAATGTGGGAGGTGCTGCTTAAAACTCCTCCAGAAACCTCTCTGAGGTAAAACATGCAGGCAACTTGAGGCACCATTACTTTAAATGGACTGAAGGCAGGAGGCGGCCATTCAGTAAAGTGCAAAGTAGTTACCTTGCTCACACGCCCTTGAAGACATGTGCATGTAGTGTACCAAGAGGCCAGTTGTCAATCTTGCTTCCCTACCACAGAGAAAAGTTTTTGACGCGTGTCGTCCTTTGGAATGATGTTTTGTTACAAATCCCAGTTATGAAGCCTCCTGACTGTGCCGCTGGTTCTGTGTAGGTGTTCAGACGTTTGAAAAACTCACCGAGGAGAGCTAGGATGTGTTCCCCAGCCCAGACTGACAGGCTGTTGGCTTCACAAGGCAGAAGGAGCTGCAGAGACAGGAGGGAGCACGTGATCAGTTGCGTAGGAAGCGGGGCTGCAGTTAGTGCCTTTGGAGTTAAACATGACAGCAAAACATTTTTTAATGTGTCCTCAAATCCGTCAGTCCCAAAATAGTCCTCCCAGCTGTGTATATCAAGAGTGTTCCAGTTAGTGATGAATCAAAGGATGTAGGTCACTCTGAATGAAACCATCTTCTTCTCTGACATAGAACAGGCCAACTTTTCCCATCCAGACACGCAAGATGTTCTTACCACAGCCAGCAACCTCCCAATATGAACTGCCAGGCAGGGTAGAGGAGGAGGACTTTGCTAGTGTCAGACCTGGTTGTCCAGGCATACCAAGGCATGGCCAGTCACAGCCAGCGTTAACGACGCCGTAGCCACTTTTCTGCTGCAGTCACATGGATTTGTGCGTGCTGACGTCGCCTTGCCTGTGCCGGGTGATCCTGGGCACTGTAGCACAAGCAAGACAAGCTGGAGAACAGCACAGCCTTTCCCCTGCTTTCTGGCCTCTGCGCGCCAGCCGAGCTCCTCCTAGCTGGACTGAGGGAAGCCGAAACGTCCCAGCAACCTTGCACCCCTTAAGTGCCCAATGCAGAATCGTAGAATGTTATCTAGTCCAACCCCCTGCACTCTGCAGGAGGATAGCCGAAAGATAGCCCTACAACATACCCGAAAGGTGGTATAAATAAAAAATAAATGGTCATCCAGCCTCTGCTTGAAAACGTCCAGCGAAGGAGCATCCACCACCTCCCGAGGCAGTCTGTTCCACTGCTCAACCACTCTTACAGTTAGGAAGTTTCTCCTGATATTTAGCCAGTATCGACTCCCTTGTAATTTCCACCCATTAGATCTAGTCTTGCAATCCGGAGTAAGAGAGAATAGATCTGCTCCATCTTCTACATGACACCCCTTCAGATATTTGAAGATGGCAATCATGTCCCCTCTAAGCCTTCTCTCTCCCAGGCTAAACATACCCAACTCTTTCAGCCTTTCCCCGTAAGACTTGGATTCCAACCCTCTCAGCATCCTGGTTGCCCTCTTCTGGACATGCTCGAGCTTGTCAACATCCTTCCTAGTCAACTTCAAGGAGTATTTGGGCATGGCGGTATGGGTGGCAGAGCTCAAGAGGGCCACTCCCCATCTTTCTCGTAACTTTGAAAAGGGAGCTTTGTCTAGCTTGTCCCTCCGCCCCCCGCCCCCACCCCAATTCTGGATTGTGTGAGATTTTTCAGATCTACTGATAGTAACCAGACCACTTTTAACGGGGCTCCAGAAGCATTTAGGATTGCTCTTCTGACCCCTCCCCATTTATCATCTGCTTCATTTATAGCCCACTTTTCTCAGTTTAATCAGACAATGGTCAGGCATCCAGTAAACAGTAGAAGAAGGCGAGGACTGCCAAATGAGAAAACGGAAGCCAACAGAAAACTGTCCAAGGCCTTGACCTACCATAAACTGTGCAGAAAATGGGATTGCAAAGTAGAAGAGAATGCAGTAAAAACAAAATAATAATACATGATACATACAACAAACATTGCAGCAGACTAAAGTCCTGTTCCCTTATAAAAAGCACCCTCCTGGACTGTTCCATTATATTGCAATTCTCATCCCTTTATAAAAAGGCCTTCCTGAACATTTCTGTTTTGTGCATTCTGTGGGATGTGATAGAAGAGCAGGGGCCTTCCTGACTTCCTCAGGCAGGCAGGCCGTTCTGCCAGGTGGGAGAATGTACATGGCTTAAAAAGACTAGGCTTGCTAGCCAGTCCTAATGGCAAGATTTTAGTCTGCTAGTTTTCATTACCGTGGCCCTTGAGTTAGAAGAGAACGGTGGAGAGCCGTTTTGTGTTTTGAATGAATGTGCTTGGAGCTGTACCACTTTGAGCCCCTGGAGAGTCCCTGGGGTATCTAGCTTGAATTTCCTGGTGCTTCTCCTTTTGGAAGAGGTCACAAGGCTTTTGAGGGTTGCTGCAAATGGCTTCAGAACTTGCATAGTGACACCAGTCATTGTGTGCATTCCTTTTAGTTGACTTGTACATTTTTAGACATTTTCTACTTATCTATCATTTTAATGTTCTGGTTTTCCTTTCGGAATATTTTTTCCTTCTTGAATATCAGGACCTCATCTCTCTCTGTGGAGGCTATTCTAGCCATGCTATCAATGTTGTATCTCAATACCGGGATTATTTTTTAAAAATAATAAGAAGTATTAGGTGTCTTCGAATGCCTTTGATATCCGAAGTGGTAGCAGTGAATGGGTTTTTTAAGGCTTTGGTCAAGAAGGAGAGACTTGCCTGCTGGAGATTTGGGTTGGAAAGCACTCTGCCTTCTCCCAGAAGACTGACGCACTCTGCCTTCTCCCAGAGGGCTGACAAACATTCTCTCGTTTCCTCGGGCTACAGTATAACCTGTTGCTTTCCTCCCTCAGCTTGAGGCCCTTTCATATGAGATATTGAACACTTCTCTCCCATCCTGGTTTCAGGGCAAACAGGAAGCGAAGCCAGCCCCGAAGGCATAAGACGCAGGATCAGAAGTCTCTGGGGGATGCCATGGCTACGGAGACTGCCTTGGATGAAGTGACTGTCAAGGAGGAGCAGCAGAGAATCCCAAGCCTGGACGAAGAGGAGAAAAGCAAAGAGGGTAAGCGCAGGGCTCAAAACCCACCGGCCTGAAGGCGTCAGCTCTTCCTGGGGAAGTCTCTAGCCCTCATCATACTGGCTGTATAAATGCTGCTTTTTAGTCTTCAAAGCACTTACTTGTTTCGTTTATTTTTAACTTTATTTATGTGATTTGTAGTCATCCTTTCTCACAGGGACTCTGGGCGGATTACAGGCAGTGAGTCAGTGCAGTCAGCAAAATGGAACATTCAATAAACAATGCATTAGTGTTTTAGAAGCCTGGAATCAACCAGAAATATAAAAGATAGAACTCAAGCATTGCATAAGTATTAACATGATGCATTAAGCGGTGCAGAATTTACACAGCAGGAGCCTACTCACAGTAAGCTGTACACAGCAGTGTAGAACACAGTCCCAGTCATTTACCCAAATAAGTTTGTGGACTGTTTTGTGGACTGCAATCCTGTTATCTGTGCAGAAAATATGTCATCTATATATCTAATTCTCAGCAGTCCCCTCTGCGTGCGGATACTTATTTCTGCAGATGAGGTGCACTCTCCCCCAACAGGTTTTTCTACAGATTCAGGGTACTCCCTGGGTCTGCAGAAAAATCCAAAAAGTAAAAAAAACCCTTGGGGAGGGTTGAATCCCCCCCCATACCTTTTGAAATGGCTGCTGCAGGGATCTACTCCAGGCCCTCCTGCATCAACAATGAGAGAGAGACTGGCTGATAGCCAGACGGAGAGAGACAGACAAGACAGACAAGACAGAAAGGGGAGGAAGCAAAAAGCAGAACTGGATTTGGGATTGGGAAGGATTCCTCCTGCAGTACAAATGGCTAAATAGCAGGAGGTTTGGAGCCAGGCCTGGAGATTCAGTTTGGGGAGGGGAGAGGCCTCAGCTGGATATAATGCCACAGAGTCCACCCATTTTCTCCATGTGGACAGATCTCTGTTGTCTGGAGTAAAGTCGTAATTCTAGGGGATCTCCAGGTCCCGCCTGGAGGCTGGCAAGTCTTGGCCTAGGAGCATTCTCTGGGGTGATTCAACTAGGCCTGGCTGCTTGCTGCTGTTCAACAGCAGCCACCCTATGGAAGTCAGTGTAATATAACGGTCAGAGCTTCAGAGTAGGATTTGCGAGACCCAGATTTAGATCCCCATCTTGCTGTGGAAGCTCACTGGTGATTTTGGACCAGTCACATACTTTCAGCCTAACCTACCTCATAGGGTTGTTGTGTGGATAAAAAGAAGGAGAGAAAAATACCAACTGCTTTAGTCCCCACTGTGGAGAAAGTCCATAGTTTTTCTCAGCAGAAGTTGCAGGGGGAAAGGAGGCAGAAAGCTGAAGACAGGGGGGCAAATAAAGGTAGGATGGCTATTGGATGGGAATGAGATAGGGATGCCAACTCCAGGTTGGGAAATTCCTGGATATTTGAGAGGTGGAGCCTGGGGATGGTAGGGATTGAGGCAGGGAAGGACTTCAGGCAGATATAATGCCATCCACAGCAGTCATTTCCTCCAGGGGAACTAATGTTGCCAACCTCCAAGTGAGGGCTGGAGATCTTCTGGAATTACAACTGATCTCCAGATGACAGAGATCAATTCCCCCAGAAAAAATGGCTGTTTTGAAAGGTGGCGTTTATGGTATTATACCCTGCTGAGGTCACTTCCAAGCTTATGCTCTCAAGGCTCCACCCCCAAATCTCCAGGAATTTCCCAACATGTAACTGGCAGATTGCACCCAAAAAAAGTGCTTGTGAATGGTTCCTCATCCTTTTGGAGAGGAGTGACAAGTGGAATGCTTCAGGGATCTGTCCTGGGACCTGTTCGACATCTTAATGATTTGGATGAAGGAATAGAGGGAATGATTATTAAATTTGCAGATGACACTAGATTGGGAGGGGTAGCAAATACAATAGAAGACAGAGTCAGGATACAGGATGATCTTGACAGGCCGGAAAACTGGGCTCAAACAAATAAAATGAATTTCACTTTGGATAAATGTAAAGTTCTGCATTTAAGTAGGAAAAATCAAATGCATAATTATAGGATGGGGGAGACTTGTCTTGGCAGTAGTATGTGTGAAAGGATCTAGGGGGTCTTAGTAAACCACACACTGGACATGAGTCGGCAGTGTGATGTGGTAGCTAAAAAGGCAAATGCCATTTGGGGCTGTATTGTATCCAGAACACATGAAGTTGATGGTATTGCTTTACTTTGCTCTGGTTAGACCTCACCTAGAGAATTGTGTTCAGTTTTGGGCACCACAATTGAAGAAGGATATAGACAAGCTGGAACATGTCCAGAGGAGGGCACCAAAGATGATGAGGGGTCTGGAGACCAAGTCCTATGAGGAAAAGTTGAAGGAGCTGGGTATGTTTAGCCTAGAGGGGAGATGACTGAGAGGTGATACAATAACCATCTTCAAGTACTTGAAAGACTGTCGTATAGTTTTCTGTTGCCCCAGAAGGTCAGACCAGAACCAACGGGTTGAAATGAAATCAGAAGAGTTTTCGGCTAAACATTAGGAAGAACTTCCTGACAGAGCAGTTCCTCAGTGGAACAGGTTTCCTTGGGAGGTGGTGGGCTCTGGAGGTTTTCAAAGAGGCTAGATGGACATCAGACAGCATTGCTGATTGTGTGAACTTAGTCAGATCATGAGAGGGAGGTCAGGAAGGGTTGTATCAGTGCTTAGTTCTTGTGGCCCTTTCTTACACGCCTAGGGACATCCTGATAGCCACTTTGTGGTCAGGAAGCACATTTTCTCCAGGCCAGTTTGGCTGGAGATACTGGAGGTTTCTTGTCACCTTCTGGGCTTGGAACAGGGGTCACTGGGCGTCACTTGTAAATTTTCTGCATTGTGGAAGGGGTTGAACTAGATGACCCTGGAGGTCCTTTCCAACTGTTATGATTCTATAATTCTTTACCCTAAGAGGAACTGATCTCTGACTTTGGCAATCTGTTGTGATTTGAGCGGCGGCTGCCACTGCTGCTGTGTGTGGGGGGGAGTAGGTGGAAGGCCAAGAGATTAACAGGGGCAGAAAGAGTGATGGGGGGCCCAGAAAGGACATGACAGCCATGGAGGGGGGAGGGAGCAACAGAGAAAGAAAAGGGATGGCAGGAAGGAGAAAGTGTGAGAGAAGCAGGGGGAGAGGGGAAGAAGCAGAGGTGGGGGGAATTGGGTAATCACTTCTACAAGTTTCTTGTGGGTCCCCACTTGTATCTTCTAATAGTGAAGTTGGTCAGTCTTTGGATACTTAAATCCAGTGACTGGTAGGGTTACCAGGTCTGGGTTGGAAAATACCTGGAGACTTTGGGGGTGGATCCAGGAGTGGGCGGGGTTTGGGGAGGGGAGTGGCCTTAGCATGGTACAATGCCATAGAGCCCACCATTCAAAGCAGCCATTTTCTCCAGGGGAGCTGATCTCTGTCAGCTGGAGATCAGTTGTAAAAGCAGATCTCCAGCCCCCACCTGGAGGCTGGCAACCCTAGTGACTGGAGCTGTGACGGGCAAGACAGATCTTTTGGCAAACCTGAAAAGGTTTGCAGAAAAATGTGAAATCTAAAAAATCATATATTTTTTTTTGGGGGGGGGGATGTTAAAAAATCCAGAAATGATAAAAGGAGTGCCTGTAGCTTTAAGCAATGGCTTTCTGCAGTGGCTGTTGCTAGGCAACCACAGGATTCCAGGCTTGGCGTTTCTGTGAAGAAAAAGATGGGGGAGTGGGCAGGGCTCTTTTCAGGCCTATCTTGAACTTTGTGAGAGGGCATCTTGAGGCCAGGCCTGGCTAGAGTTGCCAGCTCCAAGTTGGGAAATTCCTGAAGATTTTATGTTGGAGTCTGAGGAGGGAGGGCAGGGTTTGGGGACAGGAGAGGCTTCAGCTGGATATAATGCCACAGAGCCCACCCTCTGAAGCGGGGGTGGTGGTTTGGATCTGGAGTTCAGTTGTAATTCGGGGAAATCTTCAGGTCCCACCTGGAGGTTAGCACCTCTAGGACTAGAAGTGACATCTAGGTGACTTGATAGCACCCAACTTGCATGTCTGGCTGCTCCGTCTTCTTCAACAGCAGCCCCCCTATGAAAGCTAGTGTGGTGTAGCAGTTAGAGCTTCAGAGTAGGGTCTGGGAGACTCAGGCTTGAATCCCCATCTTGCTGTGGAAGCTCACTGGGTAATTTTGGGCCGGTCATGTACGTTCAGCCAAACCCACCTGTCATGAGCCTTGGCCTGCATAGGGAAGCCTGTGCTAGAGTGGCTACATGTCCTACATTTCCCAGGCCACCCTTTGGACCCTGTGAGTGGTTAACCGGGGATTTGGAGGGAAAACGTGCACCAATAGAGGAGTAGGGGGCGTTGCCTGGGAAGAAGAGATAAAAGGCCTCACCCAGAGTGCGAGGGGGTTCACAGAGAGGCTGCTGCAGACGGAGGGGTCCTTCCTCCAGGGAGGGGGTGAGTCAGCTTGAAGCCCGTCACCAAGAGGCATCTAGGGACAGTCCAGATAGACATGTTAGGGGTGTTTTATTTTGCTTGTTCACCTATCTTTACGGTTCTCATTATTCTACCAATTATATGAAAACCGGCTGTTACTAGACCTCTTAAATAACATTGTTTATTATTCACGCCTCATTCAGTCACACATAAAGTACACCCTACTGGGAAAGAAAAGAAAGAGTGGGTAAGGGGCCGGGCGGGTGCTCTGGGCCCTCCTGAGGAGACCCATACCAGAGTGGCGGCAGCCTATGGAGAGCCTCTGTAGTCACTGCCTGCGACACCACCTCACAGCATTGTTGTTGGATAAAAAGGAGGAGAGGAGAATGATGACAGCTGCGTTAGTCCCCATCGTGGAGAAAGGTGGGGTATAAATGATGTAAATAATATAGCTGAAGAAGGGAGGCAGATATAAGTAGGTCAGTGAATGACTGAGAAGGTGAGAATGAGGCAGGGAAAGGGGAGAAAATATGGGGGGGTTGTCCGGAGGACAGAAATAGGAAATAGAGTGGGGAGGGGGATAAAAGGAAACGTGAG